TCAGATCCTTAAGAAGCCCATGCTGTATCATGTGGAAAGACAACATGGAAAAACCCATATTTAGAAGAACCGAGGTACCCATCTCATATCTAACATCATCCTCCAGTCATTTAAGGGAATTCTCCTCACATTATTCTAGCTCCTACTCTTTGAGTCTTTTGTTTGAATCTCCAGACATTCTGAAGCAGAATCAAGTCATTTCCCCTGCACCCAGCTGAAACTGTAGACCCGTAGTATTCATAAATATAACAAATGGTTGTTTTACTGCACTAAGGTTCAGTAAAGGTGCTACTGTCTCACTTTCTTCACTTCTTATGTGACTTGGAAAGCAGAAGTTAAACTTTCCTCTCTTTTTTTTTATGTCTGAGTTTTAAATGAGAGGATTTTGGGATGTTAACAAAATAAAGCTTTCATTGTTTAACTTAGCATATTCATCTATACATTTTATAAACATAAAACTTATAATTTAAAATCCTTAAAATTACTAAAATCTTCCTTCTGTCTTGCCTTTTTCTTCATTATTATTTATTCACTAGGGGCATTCATTATCTATGACTATGTAAAAAAAATTATCACAAAGTTAGGAGCTTGAAATGATACCCATTTATTATTTCACAATTTGTGTGTGTTAGAAGTCTGGGTAACGACTTACACGGATTCTCTGCTAAGGATATCATGAGGCTGAAACCAGGCTACATACTCATCTGGAAGCTTGAGCAGGAAATGATCTACTTCTAGGCATCCTAAGATTACAGGCAGAACCCATTTCTTTTCAATTGTCTGATGCATTGACACTTATGTATTTTAAGCCAGCAACAAATAAAAAGTGTGTATCTCTGCTTATTTGAGTGCCTGATCTCTACAAGATGTTTTGAAGGGTTTCTCTAATTAGGTCAGGCTTACAAAGGACAATCTCCACTTTAAATAACTTAAAGTTAGATGTTCTACCCAGACTCAAGAAGAGTTTGGCATGGGTACTAGAGTGTAAGAATCATGAGGACCACTATAGTGTGTGTTTTCCATAATAGGTAAGTGAATTCTTACTTACTCAATATTTCATTCTCAGTCAAGACATAAAATCTTGATTTCTTTGGCAAATATTTGTAAAACTCTACTATGACCAAAGGTCCAATATTTGTTAACATACGATCATCATGATGAAAAGTACTGCTCTAAATTTCATGAATGTCAAACAGTTTTTCATTCAAATTTTATAAAACTCCATAATTTAATAAATACAATTGAAAATAGAAACTTCTGTGGCATTAGGGGCAAAAGAATCTGAATTCAAAGTCTAGCTTTGGGGGGCTGCCTGAGTGGCTCAGTCAGTTAAGTGTCTGACTTCAGCTTAGGTCATGATCTCATAGTTCGTGGGTTCGAGCTGCAGTCGAGCTCTGTGCTGACAGCTCAGAGCTTGGAGCCTGCTAAGGATTCTGTGTCTCCCTCTCTCTCTCTGCCCTTCTCCTGCTCATGCTCTGTCTCAAAACTAAAGAAACATTAAAAAAAAAAAATTTTTTTTAAAGTCTAGCTTTGGGTCTACCCATTGTGTGTCTTTGTACAAAATGTCTTATCTCTCAGAACCTCAGATTTCTTATCTGCAATTAGCATATTTTATTTCTGTGTCAGTATGGGTGGATTCAAAGCAATCTAAATTATAAGTTTTGCTTCTGGCTACTAAAAACTGGTATGTGAAATATAGTTGCATGTGTATATAGTATATGTATATTATGCATATATGTATATGTATATATATGTAAAAATATACTATGTATTATGAGACTTATACATATATATAACTGGAAAGTCAGAAAAAGTTTCCAACCTAATATTATATCTTTATTTCATTGGGTAATTTTTCATTTATTATACTGTGCCAAAATGACATCATATTCTGCTTTCTATTTTTATCACCATTTCATACTGAAAAGTACAAATATAAACAATAAATCTTGTCTTTTCAGGTAGAACAAAGTTACCTTCCTTTTAAAAAAAATTCCTTCTCTTTTTTTAATGTTTCTTTTTTTATTTTAAGAGAGAGAGAGAGAGAGAAAGAGGGAGAATGAATAAATGTGAGCATTGGAGGGGCAGAGATATAGGGAGAGAGAATTCCAAGCCGGCTTAACACTGTCACCGCTGAACCCTATGCGGGGCTTGATCTCACAAACTGTGAAATCAAGAGTCAGACACTTAACTGACTGAGCCACGTATGGAGAAATAGTAAGGAGACAGATTTCAAGTTAAAGGGAAGAAGAGCATTCTAATAGTGAAATCTGCCTCACTATACCAATCTAGAAAAGTTTCAGATTAACCAACCTGATGTTACGATAAAAATTGTATCTTTGGAATCTTGGGGAAACTACTGTTTCCATCTGGGAATTCCTGGTAGTTTCTAAGATCTTTCATGAATTATAAAGCCAAGTTTTGTTTAGCCTTTTTGGTGAATAAATTTTGCACTACCGTTCAAAAGGGCAGTCAGCATAATCCAGAAGTCCTCCCTTAGGGTGTATTTTGTTTATTCCTGATAACTGTGAGTTACATTCAGCCCATCATGGATGGTTTTATAGAGACACACTATGAACAACATATGAAAGTATGTTACATATGCTTTTTATTGCTAATGTCCTCTCTTTTATGGTGTAATTGGTAGTGTTTTATTATTTTATTCCATGCTCTCAGTATTGATGATTCTGAAGTCAGAAGTGGCTCTAGAGATTTCAACTGTAGTTTGAGGATCTTCATTCTTGTATTCTGCTATTGACATCATTCAGCTACACTTTGTGTGCTTCTATCTGGCATGCTGTCAACAATCAAGTCCTAGCTATACTCCAATTCAAATACCAGAGAATGTATTTCATTTGTAAGTATTAGCTGGGCATTGCGTTTTATTCTAGGCTGCATATTAGGTCATTGATCATCATTCAGTCACCCTTGGTCCACTCTGCTGATGTGGTTTAAAGTCAGTGTCCCCTTCTTTACACTGATTTCTTCAGTGGATGTCTGTTATTGAAAAGTTTTACATAAGAAGCTGTGTAAGAAATAATTGCATATGTTCAGTTGAGTGAACTATTGTTTACCATATGTGATAATCATTCATTTATTTTTTTTTAAATTTTTTTTTCAACGTTTATTTATTTTTTTGGGGACAGAGAGAGACAGAGCATGAACAGGGGAGGGGCAGAGAGAGAGGGAGACACAGAATCGGAAACAGGCTCCAGGCTCTGAGCCATCAGCCCAGAGCCTGACGCGGGGCTCGAACTCACGGACTGTGAGATCGTGACCTGGCTGAAGTCGGACGCTTAACCGACTGCGCCACCCAGGCGCCCCGATAATCATTCATTTAATAAGCAATGACTTCTACTAGGGCCAAGATCTATGTAGGTGTCTCCAAAAATCTTTTGCCCTTTAATATCAAAGTAGTAGAAATTGTATTCAATAATCATGACACAGATGCTACCGAGATGGAAGAATTTTCTACAGTATGTCTCAGTCCTTCGTTATATCCCAAAAGTGTGTCTCATTGTAGTGACCAGAATTCCAGCAAGTAAAACAGCATGTCACCCCCATAGTTGGACTCAGTAAATCAACATAATTTGGCCCAACAGCGGAAGGGAAAATGTCTTAATTACATGATAGAAAGGTAGTATTTTGAAGTCCTTTACTGTGCATTCTTAAGGAATTTTTAATAACAGATTTGACAGTAAGTGGTTATTGCTTTGTGTGTTTATTTTAGAATCTAGTCTTAATGTAAGATTTACTTTTGACTAACCCAGGAATAAGATGTTCCAGTATTTTCTTTATCTGGGCACCTAGTACATGGCAGAATTTTATTTAGTGAGAAAGCTTCCAGTTTCTTCTTTAACCAGGTGGATATTGAATTTCACCCTAATTTTCCAGCTGGTTAAAGACCTAAATGTAAAATAATACTTTATTGTAAAACTGTAAGAGAATATAAATACCTTAAAGTGGAAAACTTAATTTTAGAGATATTTTATGAAAAAGCATGATTCAAAAAATAAAATATTGATATATTTTACTGTGTCGAAAACAATTTCTGTTGGGTGAAAGATACAATATGTAACATTGTAATATATACAATATATATTGTGTATAATATATATATATTGTATATATTGTAACATTGTATATATTGTACATATATACATATATACAATATGTGTATATATATACAATATGTACATATTTATATGTGTATATATACATATACATTGTGTATATATTGTAATATATTTTATATATATCATATATATTATAATATTGTAAAATTATAACAATGTTAAAGGACAAGTCATAGAGTGGAGAAATGATAATATATCTACATTATCATATGTATGACTGGAGAGGATATATATTCAAAATAGGTTTTTGAAACTACATGATAAATAATAATCTAACAGAAAAGGGAAACTTACAAGAATTACTGAGAAACAGGAAACCAGAAAAGTAAATAAACATTTCAAAAATACTCAACTTTGCATGAAATAAGTAGAAGAAAAACTCTACAATAAGCCACTCTTTCAAATTTATCAGAGAGCAACAATCAGAAAGTTTGGCAAATATCAAAGAAGGAAAAAAACAATTCCTTTGAGTGTCTATGTTGGAAATATCATGCTGAAGAGCATTTAACAATGTGTTGTGAAGGTGAAGGTGTAAATTACTTATGACTCAATAAACCAACTTCTAGTTAGATACCCTAAAGAAAGTGTTATGCACATGCAGCAGGATTCATTCCAGAACTGAATTCGCCTATATATGCCATCAATAGGTAATTGAATAAAGATATTGTGGAATTTTTACAAATGGAACATTGCATGAAGTTAGAATGTATTACATAATATGTAGCAAGTGACTAAAGCATGTTGGAAAATGATATATCAATATCCTTAAAATGTTACAGTATATGTATACATTTTCATTAATACATATTTCATGGAAAAATAGAAATATATGCAAGAAAATTACTCAAAGATATGGAAATAAAGTAGAACGCAAGAGGTTTTAATTTTTTCTTGGGGGGGGGGAGGGTGTGGTGTGAAGCACGTGTGATGACACCCCAACATTTGTTAATTATTAGTGGCCAAAACATAGGTGATTTGGGATTTCTATCCACTTTATTTTTTTGATTTTTTAAAAGCTTTTATTTAAATTCCAGTTAGATTACATACTGCACATTAGCTTCAGGTGTATAATTTAGTGATTCAACACTTTTATACAACTCTGGTACTCATCACAAATGCCCTCTATAATCTCCATCACCTATTTACCCCATTCCCCCACCTGCCTCCCTTCTGGTAACTATCAGTTCTCTATAGTTAAGAGTTTATTTCTTGCTTTGCCTCTCTCTCTCTCTCTCTCTCTCTCTCTCTCTCTCTCTCTCTCTCTCTCTCTTTATCCCTCTGCTTATTATGTTTCTTTAAAAAAAATTTTTAATATTTATTTTTGAGAGAGAGAGCGCAAGTGAGCACGAGATGGGGAGGGGCAGAGAGTGAGGGAGACACATAATCGGAAGCAGGCTCCAGGCTCTGAGCTGTCAGCACAGAGCCGAGCCTACGTGAGGCTTGAACTCACAGACTGCGAGATCCTGACCTGAGCTGAAATCCAGTCAGATGCTTATCCGACTGAGCCACCCAGGCACCTCTCTTTTCTTCTCTTTCTTAAATTCCACTATATTGTCTCTAACTCTGTATATTCAGTTTAAAAAATTACTTAACAGGAACCCATGGGGGAGGGGAAGGAAAAAAAAAAGAAAAAGAGGTTAGAGTGGGAGAGAGCCAAAGCATAAGAGACTGTTGAGAACTGAAAGCAAACTGAGGGTTGATGGGGGGTGGGAGGGAGGAGAGGGTGGGTGATGGGTATTGAGGAGGGCACCTTTTGGGATGAGCACTGGGTGTTGTATGGAAACCAATTTGACAATAAATTTCATATATAAATAAAAAAAAATTACCTTTCAAGGGAACATTTTTGTTCCAGGAAGAGTTAAGTGCCTCTGCTTAGTTATGAAATGTAGGAGAGATAGGCATTCTCTCTTCTTGAGTAAGTGTATATGAATAAGTACTTATTTCATAAAGATAGGCCAGTAGTGTACAGAGAAGTTGCTTAGGGAACACGTAGTCAAAATTATTTTGGGGTCCAGAAACTTAAAAGGAAAAGATACAAGCAGTTACTTTTTCCATTTCTCAAGTGGTTTATGCTCTTTTTGAAAGAATTTCCACTGGTTTAAAAAAGAAGGAGAAGGAGACGGGAAGGTCCCTTTGTTCATCAGTAGTAATTACAATGTGGGGTTTGGGAGTCCAGACTGATCTGTTTACTCCACATTAGAGACTGAGAACTGTTGGAGTGGAGTGTTCTGACCAACCTGTGACTAAGGCTCAAAGTTGCTCCACAAAATTATTTTTGTGTGTGCTCATATGTCTGGAAAACTCACCAGTTTATTAGGGTAAAATGATAGAGCTCAAAATAAAACAAAAAGAAGCACAAATATGAGGTACTTCTGCAACAAGTGTGAAAAGATCGGGAGTGATCTAACCATTTTCCTATAAGGATATTCATTTTGCTGGAGTTCTATTGCTCTTCAGTTTATAGAAGAAATCTGCTAATGTGAAATAATTTTAAATTCTTCACTGCCATGATTTTTAGAGAGGAGTATGCTGTTTCTTATCTGAAATTTAGACATTTGATCACATGTTTAAAGAGAAGCAGGGATCATATATTCAGTTTGTTTGCCCTTTTACTAAGTATTAATATAGGCTTCACAGTTATTGTGACATAATGTTGACCATATTAATTAATGAAACAAAGCTTACAGAAGTGAAGCCGTCTGCCTGTAGTTTTGCGGCAAAGTGCTTATAGGTAGGACATATTTGTTGAATGAGTAAACAAATATTTATGACCCAAAGTTGTGGTTTAAAGCAAGGGCTGGCTTTGTGATTCATGCTCTCCAACGGTAACTCACAGTTGACATTTTATATATATATTCTAAAATTCTGATTGTATTCCCTTAAGATCAATAGCTACCATTAGAAATATTCTTCCATTTAATTCACAGGATGTTCAGATGTTGGGTGCTGTATAGGGAATTTTGTATGCCTGAATAAAGCCATGAATTTCATTTCAAAAGTCACCTAAGATTCTCAAGAATGTCTGAGATCTGAAACATGCCAGTGAACATTGAGGATGGTTTTAAAAGTACATATTCAGTCAGACTTTTGGAGCAAAACTTCTTGAGGATAGAAAATATTAAAAATCTTACTCTCTAATTTATGAGTTTTTAGGAATTGTATGCTTCCAGAACTTGTTTTGTGCATTATGTAGTTTTTTGAGTAGAGCATCAATCACGTCAAACAATTTGGGATCATTGTAGTAATAATTTGCTTTCGATTCCCACATATTAATCTTTAGAGCTTATCTGCTGAGTCAATAATTTTGAAATCACCTTTTGCAGTAATTAGAACATGCAATAGAGATTTGTGCAAATGAATGCACTGAAAAGTTTTATGTGGTGGTTATTATAGCCATACCTCATCTCACTTTTCTTGGCTGTACTTGAAGGTGGGATTCCAGACTCATGTCTGTGCACTAGTGAAAGAGACATTTCTGAGAGAGGTCTTCTGGCTAGAATCTGAAAATCTTTTGAGAAGACCAAACAATACTGTTTTTGTTCTGTTTTGTTTTGTTTTGTTTTTTGAAGGGAAAGATTCAAGATTGAAAAGTAGCTCAGGTAGGACATCACTGATATTTTTTTCCCTTTTAATTGAAGTATATGTGACACACACTGTTAGATTAATTTCAGGTGTAAAACATAACGCTTTGACAACTCTGTAGTTATACTATGCTCACCACAACTGTAGCTACCATTTGTTACCGTACAATGTTATTACAGGACCATTGACTACATTTCTTATGCTGTGCCTTTCAACATTGTGGCTTATTCATTTTATAACTGGAAGTCTATAATTCTCACTCTCCTTCACACTTTTTTTCCTGTCCCCCTATTTCCCCTCTCTCTGGTAACCAGCAGTTTGTCCCTCTATTTATGCGTCTGTTTCTCCTTTTGTTTGTCTGTTTTGTTTTTGAGATTCTACATATAAGTGAAATTATACGGTATTTGTCTTTCTCTGTCTGACTTGTTTTATGTTGTATAATGCCCTCCAGGCATTTATGTCACAAATGGAAGAGCTCATCCTTTTTTATGGCTGTACAGTGTGTGTGTGTGTGTGTGTGTGTGTGTGTGCTATATCTTCTTTATCCATTCATCTGTGGATGGACATTAGATTGCTATGATATCTTCGCTATGGTGATTAATGCTGCATTAAACATAGAGGTGCATGTATCTCTTCAAATTAGTGTTTTCATTTGCTTTGGGTAAATACCCAGTAATGGAATTATTGGATTGTATGGTATTAAAAAAAAAAATTAAGAGCCTTCATAATGTTTTCCACAGTGGCTGCACCAGTTTGCATTCCCACCAACAGTGCACAAAGGTTCCTTTTACTCTACATCCTTTGTTGACACTTGTTATTTCTTGTCTTTTTGTCCTAGCCATTCTGACAAGTGTAAGATGATATCTCACTGTGATTTTGATATTCATTTCCCTGATGATAAGTAATATTATTGAGCATCTTCATGTGTCTGTTGGCCATCTGAATGTCTTCTTTGCAAAAAAGGTCTTTTCAGGTCCATTTTTTTTCAGTTGGATTATTTGTGTTGGTTTTTTTATATCTATATATATTGAGTTGTATAAGTTCTTTATATTTTTGGACCACTTGTTGGGTATATCATTTGCAAATGTCTTCTCCTATTCATTAGGTTGTTTTTTTTTTCACTTTGTTGATGGCTTCTTTCGCTGTGCAAATGCTTTTTATTTTGTTGTACTCCCAATAGTTAATTTTTGCTTTTTCTTTTCTTTGTCCTAGAAGACGTATCTAGAAAAGTGTTACTAAGACTGATGTCAAACAGACTATTACCTATGTTCTGTTCTTGGAGTTTTATGGTTTCAGGTCTCATACTTGGGTCTTTAATTCATTTTGAATTTATTTTGTGTAT